CTCAACTGGGGGCGAGGGGGAAGGTTTTTTGAGGGGGGCGACACACACAGGTCGGGGGAGGTGGGGGTCCGCTAAAGGCGGGGGAGAGAGAGGAGCCAGGCGGGCGTTTTGTGGCTTTTACTCTATATATGAAAGAAGACAAAACCATACAAAGTATATGTACAACTAAAATTCAACAATATATACAGAAAGGTTGCGCGGGGGAAAGGTCCCTCTCGCTCAGCGGGTGCGGCAGCGCTGACCCTTCCTTCCCCGCACCGCGGCGGCGGGTATCACCGCGGGTCCCTCGCTCTGTCCTTCCTTGCTCGTCTCCGGGAGGCTGCCCGGCCGTGTGCGGGTGTGTGTGTGCGGGTGTGTGCGGGTGCGGGTGAGGGGGCTCTTGTCGCGGGAGAGACGAGTAGTGATTTCTTCTGAGCCGCAGCCCGTCGCATTTTGAGCAAGCATGCAGGTTTTGCTTCGTGGTAATGTTCTAATCTTACAGTATATTTTCATTTTTCAATCAGTTCTCTCTCTTTTTATTTTTTTTTCCCTCTTCATTTCATTTTTTTTTTAATCCCTTCTTCTGTCTTTTAATTTTATTTTTGTTTTCCCCCAGTCCGGATTTGGTGAATAAAAATGAAGGAGCTTTGACTAGTCTCTCTTTCATCATGTAATGTCTTTAGCTCATTAAACAAGTAAAAACGGCTGCCATGGTAGATTCAGGTTCTTCTTGTGGGCAAAGTCTGCAAAAAAAGTTTGTTTTGACGTATACTCCACAGAGAAAGAGGCTGGTGCCTTGGAGTCCAAAGGAAAATATCCTAAAGAGAAGTGTCTTCTTGTGCGCCAGAATGAAAATTGTGTCTTTCTGTTCGAGATCAATCGCTGAGGTTACTTTTTTAAAAAAAAAAAAAAAGAAAAATAAAATAAAAATGAAGCCACTCTGTCTCTTTGCCGCATCTACAAGTTCACACAGAGCCTGGTAGCTGGCACGGCTTGGCAAAGCAGGGGAACTTTTTTTGCCATGTCGAGACGAGGCGTTCTTGGGGAAGCTTATTTCTCTTGGACGATTCACATCATTTGTGGTCTCTGCATTGTGTCTTGATGTGGAGAAGAATACCAGTGAGAATAGCCAGGCATGTAGCTGTTGGGAGGCATATTGACTCCCTTGGCAGAGGCTGAAACGTCCCAGACCGGAGGCAGAGCCGGAGAGCGGGGGGAGAGGGCGGCGGAGCCGGGCAGGGGGTCACTCTCGTGGGGGTTGCTGCCCTGCTTCAGCAGCTTCTTGAATTTGGAGCGCTTGTTCTGGAACCAGATCTTCACCTGTAAAAGCAAAAAGCAGCAGATGATGATGAGGCTGCCGGCAGTTGAGTCAGGAGACCCCCATCACCCCCCCACCACCACCCGGAGAAGGTGGGGAGAGCCCAGGCCGGCCCGGTGGGGAGCTGGGGATGGGGAGAGGGGAAGGATGGGGTAGGGACCGCTGCTCTGGGGCTGGGGATGCGGCTGGAGAGGAGAGGAAAGGAGGAGAGGAGCCGGGAAGCCGGAGGGATGCGGGGTTTGAACCTGGAAGGTTCTTTTTTTTCCCCGGGCAGGCCGGATGGAGCGAGCTGGAAAGGGAGCTCTCCCGCTTTAACGCCTCGGTGGGAATTTTGGAGGTCATTCGATCGGTTTTTGGGCAAGCTGGTGTCAAACACGGGCAATCAGATGATTTTTGTGCCAGGAGACAGGAGCCAATAGACAAAGGGCATCCTCACAAAGAGATGGCGCATCCCAAAACGGGCACCGTCGAGCGGTCCGCGCTGGTGTGACGGGGGCGGGGGCAGCGGGGAAGCAGCATCGCGGCTTTATTTTAGAAGCTGGTTCGAGAGGAAGGGCCATTCCCTCTTTGCTCGGCGACTAATTGGCTCTCCAGATCGTTTTGGGTCTCACCCTGCCCCAAATTCCGCGGGAGCCCCGCGGAGGGAGCCCGCACTCAATGGGGTGCGCAAGGACCGGGCCCGCTCTGCCAGAGCCCCCAATTCTTCTAGAAATTATAGATATGTGAGACACAGATATACACGCGTGTTTCTTAAAAATCAAGCGAACAAAGAAAAACAACTCCCGCCCGTGTGTTTGACCTGGCAAACTTTGCAGGCGCGATCTGGGGGTGCAAGAGGGGGGGGCCCGGTCCCGCTGGGTGCTCAGGATCGGGCCCCAATCCCGGGTGGGCGAGCCAGGGGGGAGATGGGGCGAGCACACCGTGCCAAGGGCACCCAGACCCCCCCTTCGTGGAAACCATCAGGTCTGTCCCCGTGATGAATGTCTGCTGGGTCTTTAAAAACCGCTGGCTGTTACCGGCGGCGGTGATAAAAATCCCCCAAGTTATTTGTTAAGCTCATATAAATTGCCGTGATTGCGTTTTACCCGAATCGATCCCATCTATCCACGCACTTCCCCGCAAAGCCCAGCCTTGGGAAGCCTGGCAATGCCGCGCGTGTCTTTCAAAGCTTAAATTAGCAGAAGGGCACAGCTCCTCCAACCACACTTAACTATGGCTTAACCTGCCATAATTTCGTACACGGCTGGCTTTGATCTTCAGATCTATTATCACCTTCCCTACATTTTGCCCGGGGGGAACCGCTGCCTTCGCGTTACTCATCCCAGGGTGAATTAACTATTGATTTTACAGGTATTTCCTAACGTCTTCCCTCTTCCCCTCTGCCCAGGAGGTTGCTCGGAGGCAGCTGGGTTTGGCTTTCAGCTCTACCTCGGGCCCAGCCCGTTCCTTGCCTTTGTTCTGCTCTCCTTTTTTTCACGGCCTCGCGGCTGGAATTATCCGAAAATTCAGGGCAATTTTTAAAAATCTTAGGTGTGACATCCGAGGGGAGCGTTCTCTCGCCGGGCGGCGGAGGGAAGGGCTAGTTGAGCCCCTTCCCCGGTAGCCCGGGCTCTCTGTCGCGCCTTAGGTAAGTCCCATCACATAGCAATGGAGGGGAGGGGGGGAATAGTGTGCTTTACCTTTTCTACCGTCCCCATAGAGAGGCCAAAACGTTTAGGGAGCATGGTAATTTGCGTGGCCTTTATTGCTCGAGCAGGATTTCAAGCGACTGGGGGATTCCCAGTAATTACCTGTGTCTGGGTAAGTCCTAATGAAGCTGCCAGTTCGGCTCGCTCTGGAAGGGCCAGGTACTGGGTCTGCTGAAAGCGGTGATTTAAAGCCTGGAGCTGGAGACTGGAGTAAATGGTTCGAGGCTTCCGAATCTTTTTCCCTTTGCCGTTGAATCTGATTTCACCGTTTTCAATCACTGTGGTTTTTTGCTGGTCTGCAAGGGAAACAGCACGGCTGAAACATCACCCTCCTCAGCCGCCCTTTAACGAGGGGCGTTTTGGCTCCCAAAAAAACCACCCGGCAGCTCGCCCCGATCCCGGTTCGGCACCGTCGCCTTCATCCCGACTCCCTAAAGGCATGTCGCGACATACGCTGCTGCTGGGGAGCCACCGGGGG